ACTCGTGTGAAACCTATTGATGTAATGTTTGAGTTTGTATCCAAAAGAACTCTAAGCTTTGTTTTAGAATTCATGTAAAGGAGAGTCTTCCAAATTTTTACTAAAGTCTTGAATGGGTATTGCCGTATTGGAATGCTCTAGTTGTAACAAAAGGTGTAACGAATTTGGTAAGACTCTGAACCTGGTTAAACCAGACCAAAACATGAGCCCTTAAAAATGAATTGCAATAAAAATACAGGGTTGTATATGTAAAAACAATTAATTTCGTTCCTGATTGATCTTCATGATTCTTTCGAATTGCAGAATCAAGTTTGAAAAACGAATTCGTTCACTTGCCAAATCAAGAATAGCTCCAGAGTCTAGAGTCGAGAGTCAGCGTGATTCGTATTTTCTTTCGAATTGGCTAAGAATCCTGAAATCGATCAATTGATCTTTCACTCACCCTTTTGCTACTATTGAATCTGCGCCGAATCTTCGAAGAATCCTTACGGCAAGGTGGATGCTAAGAAGCTTGATAAAATGGAGGTAGAGATCGGTGTTTGCGGCGATGAGAAAGATGAAGAGAAGAAGAAGAAATCAAAGGATCCCGAGTTTTTGAGCTGTATGATGCAGCCGGCAACAGCCGAATCAGATCCCCAATACGTCGGAATCCGCCGAATTCTTCTCCACCGGAAATCTGAATCCGGCGCTATCTCTCGCCGTTATGTGAGCTCTTTATCTCTCTCTTTCATTCACTTCGAAAATCAAAATCGCTCTGATTGTTAATGTATCTCTTCGTTGAAAGGATTGGAGATGCAATGGAAAAGGATATGTTGCCTATCGTAATTTCATTAGCAGACCTAGAAAATGGGAAAATCTGCGAACGCCAAGCCTCTTGAGTAGTCCAGGAAACAGGTTCTGCGACTTGACAAAGTTTTGTTTTTTTCTTTTTGCTTTCCAATGTATAAATCTGTGTGTTTTTGGGTTGCTTTCTGCGGATTTATGTTCAAATACAATTCTGACGTCAGGTTAATTTACTGGTTGATGCATCAGTGGTCGATGGTTACCTTCTCCGAGTCCTCTCTCTCATCAGTTTGAAGCGGAGAGCTTTACTTCTAGTAGGGTAAGTAGACTCCCTCCATTGTGAGGGATGCAAGTTCAGTTTCTGTAAAGACAAGATCATTAGCTTTTCGTTTTTGCAACTGGACTTTTGTTTTGTTTCAGTAAGTGACTTGTCGTGTGTTTAATTCTTAGGATTTACGGAGTGTCAATCAGGTTTCGAGCCGAAGAGCTAGTTTTAGCTCAAGCTTGAGTGATGGTGAACATCCGTATCGTAGTGGTGGTGTTGAACATGCTTATTCTTTTGTCGGAATGCATTGCATCTTCGATCAATGCAAATCGTCTGGTATTTCTTGAATCTTGTTTGTGTTGCATCGATGGAATCTTTGACTTTTTATCTTTCTGAGAATGAGTCTGTTTATCTCTTATGTAGTGACTGTTCTGAAGTTTGGCCACATGAGTTCTGATCTACTTGCATATGGAGCATCAGATGGAACCTTAACGGTTTGCAGTCTCTCGGAAGAGCCTTCTGTGCTCAAGCAGTTGATAGGACACTCAAAAGATGTCACAGGTTCGATTAACTGGTATTGTTTTCATGGTTATTTTCTGTGTCTTGGGTAGACCTGCCTGCTAGTGCTCTTGGAAACTGAGAATATGATGCATGATACTTTCACGGGGTTTTTAGGGGTATGGTTTAAGTGGAGAGTATGAAAGAATTATCTGTAATGGATAGAGCATAAGGGTGTATGTAAGACCGACATGCATTTTAGATCCTATGTCTTACTTTATTTGTTTCTCCAAATACTTTCAGATTTTGACTTCTCGTCAAACAATCAGTACATTGCGTCGTCATCACTTGATAAGACAATACGAGTATGGGAGTTGTCAAGAGGTGTTTGTATTAGAGTTATATATGGAGTTTCTGCACAGTTTTGTATCCGTTTTCACCCTGTAAGTTTACCGTACTTCCTCATTTGTTAGTTAAGATCTTCTCATATAAGATATTGAGTTACGAAATTTTGTGGGTTTCTCTTGCTTCTTCATTAAAGATATGTATTCCATTTTCATGTTTTTTAACAGGTTAATAACAATTTCCTTTCTGCTGGCAATGCAAACAAGGAAGTCACGGTAACTGCATTACACCTTCTAGCCAAATATATTGGTGTATTACTTTTTGTGTGTTTCGAGTTGTTTGCTTATTTGGTATCTAACATCTCTCTGCTTGACAAAGTAGGTGTTCAATTTCAGCACTGGGAGACTTATAAAAAAGTTAATGTTCGACGGTGAGGTGACAGCTATGGACCATGATCACACTGGCCAAATCATTTTCTGTGGTGACGGGCAGGTAACTTTTTTTCTATACTGATGTCAAAATTTATAAACTAGGGAGATGGTCTCTTATGTTCGCTATGCCAATGTTTTTATACCGATTACCTAAGTTGTGGTGATGACTAAAATCAGTTTTTTTGCCTTAGTTAACGGTAAAAGAAATTTTTCCATGCCATTTTACACTGTTTTTGACAAGGTAGTTAGTAAAAATCGCAGGGAACTGTATATTCAGTGAGCATGGATTCCCATACAGGTTCATTATCCCGTTCTCATCGCCATCGTACTAATCACAAATCTGCTGTCACAACTGTGAAGTACCGAAGCTTCTCCCTCCTGGCATCAGGTCCTGTTCTGCTCACATGTACTCAGGACGGAAACTTGTGTTTTTTCAGGTTCAGCAACACAGCCAATTTTTTTGTTCTTTACGGATTTGCTCACTTTTGTCCTTGTATACCCTTGTAAGAGATTGTTCTGCTGTGTGTTGGTGCTGCAGTGTTGCGCTTCAGATAAAAGGCTACTTGACATTGCGTTGCTCCCTCAAATTAGCACCCCGAATACACAGAATCCAAGCATCGTTTTGCCCGTTATTATCCCTAGAGAAAGGAGAATATATAGGTTTGAAATTTCAATCCTTCATTTGCCTATATAATTGATCTAATAGTGGATGCTCTTGGAAAACTGCAATACATTGGCTCTGCGTTTCTTATTGTTTTTCTTTGAAAACTCTAGTTGCTGGAAGCGAAGACTCGAATGTCTACTTCTACGATTTAACCAAACCGAAACACACATGTGTAAATAAGCTACAGGTGAGACAAATGTGTTTCTTATATTCTGAAACTTTTGTGTATGGATTGAAAGTTATATTGGAAACCGGAGTAACGAGTTGGATACTGCAGGGTCACAGGTTTCCAGTAATGTGTGTTGCGTGGAACCATGGAGAGAACTTGTTGGCTTCGTCTGATTTCTACGGTGTTGTTATTGTATGGAAAAGAGCAAAGACAAGCTCATAAGGTTTGTCTATAATATATATTATAAACGAATCTAAATCCGCCATTTTTTACCTGAAGGCTTTTGGTGTTTTGCTTCATTTTGTATCGCTAATTTGAACTGTCCATTTAGTTTTGATTATAGTGGAAACTTAGAACAAGATGGGACTCTTAATTGGTTCATCTACAAACATGTCCATGATGACTCTTTCTATTGCTATGTATGGAGAAGTCTCCGTTGATAAAAATCATGAACCAAACCAAGATTAACTGAATGGAGATTTTCATTCAGTCTGATTTTTTCAATGATTTTATTTGTCACATTAATTTAAACAATAAACTATTTTATTGATGGAGATCTTAGTTCAAAAAAAAAAAAATCTCAACTCTGACTAGAAGAACATCACAATTCTCTTATTGCCCCAAATAAATCTCCATTCGTCATGTCTTACTAGATCCTCTCTCTATCTTTCTACATTATTATTTTCAATTATTTATTATAATTGTTAAGAAATATGTTGGTATATATATTAAAAGTCACTCTTCCCTATCTCTGAGGCTGACTCTGACCAAGTCTCTCTATCTCTCTCATTCTGCCATCTCTGACCCAATTCAGACATCTTTCCCTTCTTCATTTTTTCCTTTGGCCACCCATCAATTCACGTTTCTCTCTTATCCACCCCATTTTTTGTCGTTTTAATTTCAAAGTTTTCAACTCAAAATTTCGAATTTTTTCTTTATCAAAATAAGTAAAATTTGCACAAAAAGAATTTAATGATATATGTTATGTTTTGATCTCTACTCTATGTCATGTGGAAACCACACACTTTCATTAATTCAAGGTATTTTATTGGAATTGATTAAATTTGTTGCGCTACCTAAATATTAAAGTTATAAATAGTTCCACCATGTTAAGAAATGGACACACACTCATTGAGAAGAAAGCAAAAGTTAGAACATAAACATTTTGGAAATAACCGTATATACCTAGAAACTATTGGGCATAAGAAGACAAAGCTGAGTGGGGAAAAAGGACACTTACTATTCATTATTTATTTGCACCCAAAAAATAAAAACTTATTCATTATTTATAAAGAGATAAGGAAAAGTGTTTTGTTTTTTTTTTAGAATGAAAATATAGTTGAATGCACTATTCAGTAGCATGTGGACCATCACAAACATTTTCTGAAATAACAAAAAATGTTGAAAATAATGAAATTTAAAGACAAAGAAGAAGAAACTGTAAAAGCTTACCAAAAAGTGAATATTTTTTCTTTTTGAAATTAAAAAGTGAAAAAGATTTCATCCGTGTGTAAACTTTGACACGTCTACTCAAATTATTCCCACTCTAATCTATTATATTAAAAGATGACTAGTATACAAAACAAAAGGAAATCTTTTGGGTGCAAATCAGACTTGCACCAAACTTAGATATGAAAATGTCCATTAATTTTGTCTTTTTCTCCAAACTTTGCTTGATGAACACAATGTCTTAGAAGAATTAGGAATACATTATATTTGGTAACCAATAGGAATATCTTGCATTTTCATCACAAAAGAAAATTAATTAAAAAAAAGAACAGAATATGATTGTATGGCTGTTATTGCTTCCATCAATTTTATTGCAGCAAACAAACAAAAGGCCAGAGAGAGAGAGAGACAAGAGAGATAAGGAAGAGAGAGAGACAAGAGACATTAGGGTTTAAGAATGGGTAAAAGAGAGGGTTTTAGATCTACCACAGAAGCTCCTTAACATACTTTTAGTTCTAAACATTTTGATTTGTCTTCACTAAAGACTTGACTCCAAGAAAATAAGAAGAAGAATCAAAGAAGCAAGTTCAAGCACCAACCAGCTTTATAGCAGTATCTATTATCTCCTACCTCAAAAAGAAAAGTTAAAAAACTTGCTTTTCTTTTTTCTATTTTTATTTATTTGGTTTAAAAGAAATAGCTTCTGGGACATGGACATGATGATATGGGTCGCTCACGTGTGGGGTTAATGAGAATAATATACCCATTGAAAGAGAAGGAGAAAGGAGAAATCTTTTGGGTTCTTGGGTTCAAAACGTGTTATATTTCAAAATTTTGATTTGGAATGATGAGTGTTTGTCGTTAATTTTGTGTTCTTGGGATCATCAAGTCTTAAAAAAATTGTTTTCTTTCTTTTTTCAATTTTAGATTTTCCAGTGTCTCCTTTAACACCCACAGCAAGTAGTAGCCAGCAGATGATTTCCTGGTAATTTTTTAATCTCTCCTATTCTTTATTTCTCATTTTAAATTCTTAAATTCATGCAGAGAGATAGAAAGTTCCAATTTTTATACTTGTAATCCTCGTTTGAATTTATCTAAAAGTTCCAATTTTCAAAAAAAAATTCCCTTCTTTAATCAAGATTTTGTAACATAATGTGAACTAGATAAAAGGCTTAGTAGTGATTGTGTTTGAATCTGAAACAGATCAATTCTATTTCAGATAAGTTTGATCTGATCATAAGAAGAAGAAGACTATGGCAACTTATTACAAAAGTAATGGCTCAAGTGACATTTATTCCAGACCAAATCTTGCCGAATTTGTCCCTGGAAACGCAATGATCTACACGAATCCTGTGGTTTCTTACTCAGAGACGTTTCCTGGAGAAGCTAACAATGTCTCAGCTTCAAAAGAGATTCAAGTCTTATCAAGTTTTGGTGGAGCTTCGCAAATGATGGAGATTCAAGATTCTGGTTCTTGGAGAGATCAAGAAGACAATGACAGAAACTCTTTCCCGGTGATGATGCGTCCCACCACGGGACAGAGACTGTCCCTTGGCCTCAGCTCGCAGATTGAGACAACGAGAGGCAATAACAATGAGTATGCAACACAGGTTGTTTCGGGTTTTACTCGAACCATCCACAACTCAAAGTATCTCAAAGCTGCTCAACAGCTTCTGGATGAAGCTGTTAATGTTAAGAAAGCTCTGAAGCAGTTTCAGCCAGAGGGAGACAAGATTGATGAAGAGAAAGAGAAGACTCTTCAAGAATCTTGCACGAATCCTGATATACCTCAAGGAGAGAGACAAGAACTGCAGAGCAAGTTGTCGAAGCTCTTATCAATATTAGACGAGGTAGTTAACTTTAAAACATCTCCTCTATGCTCATAATTGATTATTCTCTTGATTACATAAAAAGCTGTTTTTGTTTCTATGTTGTGTGTAAAGGTGGATAGAAAATACAAGCAGTATTACCATCAGATGCAGATAGTTGTGTCATCTTTCGATGTAATAGCCGGATGTGGAGCAGCTAAACCATACACGGCCCTTGCGCTTCAGACAATCTCGAGGCATTTCCGTTGCTTAAGAGATGCAATATCCGGACAAATATTGGTGATAAGGAAAAGTTTAGGAGGAGAACATGATGGATTAGATGGGAAAGGAGTTGGGATAAGTAGATTAAGGAATGTTGATCAACAGGTAAGGCAACAAAGAGCGTTGCAGAGGTTAGGCATGATGCAACCACACACTTGGCGACCTCAACGTGGTTTACCTGATTCATCTGTTTTGATTCTCCGTGCTTGGCTCTTTGAGCATTTCCTACACCCGTAAGTCTTGTTTACTACACTCTGCGTGAGTTGTTTGATTCATCACAAAAGATTCTGACTTTTGAAAAACCCATGAACTTAGTTATCCAAAAGATTCAGATAAGATCATGCTAGCTAGACAAACAGGCTTGACCCGAGGCCAGGTACTTAACTGTTTAGCTTTATGTATCTTTTCTCTCATCAACTGCTTTTTTCTGTTTGTTGTGTTCTTTACTCGTTGTATGATTGTTGAAAGGTGTCGAACTGGTTCATAAATGCGCGTGTGCGTCTCTGGAAACCGATGGTGGAGGAGATGTACAAGGAGGAATTCACAGACGCATTGGAAGAGAATGGTCCCAACTTGTCCTCCGGAAACACACCGGAAACCATCGAGGTTCAAGAACAGCAAATCGAGTCTAGCTCCAATAACGGGCAAGTGTCTGGTGTGGCAATGGGACAGAACACGGTGGCCTGTGGTGGTGACCGGTTCATGATGGTGCGAAGAAGTGGTAGTGGTGGTGGGATGTCTTTAACGTTGGGGATTCAGAACTCCGACGCTCGTGGCGATGTATCTATGTCCGGCGGAAGAGATAATTACGAGAATGCCATCCCGGGAACTGATTTCCAGTACTTAAACTCCGCCAACCACCAGCACCGGCTTGGCTCTTCACAGATGTTGCATGATTTTGTAGCTTGATGAAAGACAATAGAGTGGTGTAGTAATATATTATTTTGTGAAAAGAAAACCAGAAAATGAATTTGTAGATTAAAACGAGAAAACATGAGAAGATGATGCAACACAATTTAAGACTTGATACAATTTGTTACTGATTTAACCATCTTTCACAAAGTTCAAAAGGATCCTACCCGAAGTTATCTTAATGACAGGTTTCTAAAACCTAAGCATGTCCAAAAGAAGAAGAGTCAAGCTTCCATCAGCATAATGTCTGCGTTTACCTGAAAAAAATGAGCATCGAGGAAGTTTAATAATAACAGAGAGAAAGATGACTTGTGTGAGGATCTGGTCATAACTGATGTTACCTTTTGTAGAGAACTCTTATGTCTTCTCTTAACCTAGGGCTTTCAAGGAACATATCACCAGCTTCATCCACATCGATTGTCTCCACCTCAAAGTTCTTGTATCCACAGTACTCGTTCCACTCGAACCACATCTTTGAGATGACTTCCTTTTTGAAGCAAGTGTTGTGATCCTCTTCCTCAGGTGATGACCCAGCAATCAATCTATACGCGTGCACCTTCTTTGTTTGTCCAGGTCGAAAAGCACGCCCGATAGCTTGGCGTGTCACAGAAGGGTTTAGAGGAACATCCAGTATCAGTATGCGAGATGCACCAACAAGCGAGATACCTTCTCCACATGCTCTTATCGAACCAAAGAAGATTTTGGCGTCTGGGGAATTGTTAAACCTTTCCATTGACAACTCACGTTGCTCAGAACTGGATTCGCCTGTAAGAACAAAAGTTTCTTTTCCTAGTTTCCATCCTTTAGCTTTAGCAACCAGTCTTTCAAGAAACTTCAGTGGCACGAGATACTGGCTGAAGACCAAGAGCTTCTCACCAGCAGAGTCACACAGGTCTATCAAGTTCAAAAAGAACTTTGCTTTGACGCCTTCATCCACATCTAGCTTCTCTAGCATTTCATCCATTGTTGTATCGGAGAGATCATCAGCCTTGTCAGAGAAAGCTTTCAGCTTTGGATGAAGGTAAATTGCACTTCCCACAGCTGAAACCTTAAACTTTTTCTTCTCACGCCTTAACTTCTTCACTTCAGTCAACTGCCTTGGAGACAGATTAAGAACCACAGTGAAATCATCAAGCCCAGGCAGCTCATCTAAGAAATCTCCTTTATAGTAATGCAGCACCTTCTTTGTCATCTCTCGTAAATCTTGGATCACGTTGATTTTCTTCTGGAAATCCTCGCATTTCTGCAGTGTGTGCTCCACAATCTCATTGAAAGCCGAAGACACATCTGAACTGCTTCCCAGATGAGACCTGACATCGGATATAGGAGCACGACTCAAGATCCTTTTAACGATAGACTTGGAGGTATCCAGTTTCAGAAACTTGGGTCGAACGAGGTTCAAAATGTTGAAAACCTCCTTTACATGGTTCTGATAAAGCGTTCCTGAGAGGACAACTTTTCTTGGTGTTTGGACTTGGGCAAGGGACTGCAGTACATTTGTGTCCTCATTCCTCGGAGTGTGTCCTTCATCCAAAATAAGGATCGAAGGTCTTTTGAGCAGTATCTCCTGGCAAGAACGTGAGTCGGTACTTGTGTCATCACAGACAATAGTCGAGAACTGCTTGTACCCAAGAAACAATATACTCTTCTTCTCAACCCACTGTTTCAAGATAGCCAGCTGCTGTGCACGGTTTTCTGCTTTGGCACTATAGAAATCCAGAAGTGGTATGTCCTCAACTTGCCATCTCAGGAACTCTCTTTTCCATGTAGAAAGAATTCCCTTTGGAAGCACGACCAGTGGCTTAGCCTCAGGAAACTTGGCAAGGAAGCTCTGCATGAAACTGATGATCATAAAGGTTTTGCCAGAACCTGGAGCATGAGCCATGATACAACCACCAGGATCATCTGCCACTAAATTGCTGCAAAGGAACTGGAACCCCTCAATTTGATGAGGCTTCATCTTGTTAGCATGCGTTGGATGTGCAGAGAGTCCACCAATCATGAGCCCTTCTTCAGATAGCTTAAGTTCAACATCAGATTCGCCAAACCTTTTATTCCGAGATTCAGGGGCATATGTTCTCGTGCTTCTTTTCTTCTGCAATGAAAATCATAGAAAATGAATTAGAAGCTCCACCAGTTCTCAGTAGGGAAAATAATTTTTGTGCTAAGCAGCCAACTTGAGCTTGAATTACAGTACCATGACCGTTGGATTAAGAAATTCAAAAAAAAGTTGTTGGAGGTAAAAAACGTTGGATTAAAAAATGTTTCCATGAAATCAGAGAATAGAATAAAACCAGAACAAGGAGACTTACTTTACTGAACTGCACATCAATGATTTCTAAAATGCTTTTATCAACAACTCCGCAGACACGGCAGACATATCCCATATCGTCCATTAGGATAAATGAGTGCTCGCAGTCTTCCACTTCATCTTCCTTTGGTTCCTTATGTGAAGCACCATCCTTCATGTTTATACATAAACATTAAAATTGAATACTAACTACAATATCTCAGATGCAAAAAATATAAGATATGCAACATGAAGTAAATGTTTAGACATATATACCTTGGAACACACTATTGACATTGCCATTTCATTCCAGATACTACCAAGATCCTCATCTGCTGCTTCAGACTCATTACCACTGTCATCATCTTCAACACCCACGTAGACACCTTTATCGCTAGCCACACCATTTTCTATGGAAAGTACTCTGTCTCTCCTTGTTTGTCCCACGGTGACACTTTTGTCATATACCATTCCATCTTCTATGGCGAGGACTTTGTCTCCGCTTGTTTGTCCCACGGAGACACTTTGGTAATCTACCATTCCATTTTCTATGGGAAGGACTATGCCTCTGCTTGTTTGTCCCTCCTGTCAATATTACGAAAAAAAAAAAGGTCAACCTCTTGTCTGACTAGTTTGTAAATACGGGTGCCATATAATTTGTAACCTTCAATCCAGTTTCCACATAGCTTGACAGAAAAAGGAACTTACCCCAATGACCGTAATTGCAGAAGACAACTCCTTCCCCTTCCCCAAAACGACATCCTCAAACGCGAGCTGCGGTGTTGCTGGAAGCAGATCCCTTTGACTCTTCTGATGCTGCACAAGACTTGACTGAAATGGATACGTAGGCTTCTGACTCTCATTGTCTTCATCATCAGAGTCAAGAACCACAATCTCAGTCGAAGGAACCACGCATATAGCTTTATTTGAAGCATCAGTATCATCATCATCCAAGTCGATGACACCTTCCACAACCTGTGGGTTTTCCAAACTCACAAGCTCCATAGTCTGATTCTTGTCTGCTCCAAACTCGACATTCGCTAGCGATGGGAATTTGGAGATACACTGCTTCACCATTCCCATCCTGAGATCAGCTATTTCTTGCAAGTCTTTGGTAACACTCCCAAACTTACCATTTTCCAAAGCTTTAAGAATGTTACTGATGGCAAATGGTTGTGAATAGTCAGTAACATTGGAAGAGATCCTTAGCCGCTTAGCATCAGGTGTAAGAGAACCGAGAGAGCATCTACCATCAAGCTTTCTTTTATGGTAACCTGTCATCAGATTGCAAAGTAAGCCACATTACTCGCCAAAGAAACAAGAAACGAGAGTCAAAACACCATTCTCTTGAAGCCCTAAATTACATTCAAGCACAAGAGACCCAAAGATGAGGAAACGAATCAGACGAAACCACAATACTCATTTTTGCTCACAATCAAATCATGAATTGCAAATTCTTCAGCAGCTTTTCATAATTTGACCAAATAATCGGAATAACTAAAACAAACAGAAGACCAGGTTCCGAAACGACATGCATTTAGTGTAGCGAAACGAAAATCAGACGGAAAACTGAGAAGACACCGAATTTTCTCGCGAAACCCCACTTTCACTCCCACAATGAAGAACATATACAGTAAGAGGCGGAGAGAGAGAGAGATACCGGTTGAAAAAGCTTGATCGGGCTGGAGAATCGCCATGGAAACCAGCAAAGGTGAGCTCGATTTAGGGAAGATGAAACAACACACAACCCAAAAGTGGATTTTGATTTCTTTTCGCTTCGTACTGTGACTGCTTTTTTATTTTATTATTACCCCAAATTTTTTTATATATATTATTATTAACTTTAACCAATAAATTTTTTTTTTATGGTAAAAAATTTAATTGATTTTAAATTGGGATTACAAAATCATAAAAAAGTTTTAGAAAACAACTTATTATTTTAAATAAGCAGAGATATGTGCTATATAGTAAAAACGATATAATAAAAGAAGTGATTTTGACCATTTTCTGTATATAAGTTTTACTCGCTAACAAATCATGAAATCTGTTTTTTCTTTCTCCGTATTTAATATTGTTCTATTTACGATACATACAATGAAAAGAAAATCTACCGAAGTCAACAATATATTTATAAACATTGTAATATATATATTATCCCATAATAATCAAAAATGATGGGGTCAAACCATTAATTTTTTTTTGTTAATGTAAGCTATAAGTATATACTTACGTTAACAAATTTTTTAAAATGACAAGGGTCAGCTGACCTTATGCTTTTTTATTGGCTCCGCCACTGGATACATACTGGTACTTCATAGATTTTGTTTCTTCTTTTATTTGTATCTTATTAACTGTTTCAATATTTTATAACTACAAAAAATTTACAATTTTTTTTCACACCTAACATGGTTTAGATTTTTTAAACTATTTTTTTTTGTGAACAAGAATAGTGTCACAAATAATATAGAAGAACTTTTTTTTTATCAGCTACGCTGTTATAGTTTGGTGGATGAGAAGAAAACGTATTCTTTTTTTAGTCTAACATGACTTAATTTTGAAAAAAAAAATTATATTATGGACAAAAATAGTATCAACACCTACTAAATAAAACTATTTTTATAAATAACATAAAAAACTATTTTCTAATCAAAACATTAAATGAGAATAGTAAGTTCGTCATAAGTTTTCTCTCATGCATGATTTTCAAGGCGCCACTGCATCTGTTCCTCAGAGCTTCTTCTCCGCCGGTGACCACGCTTCCTCCTCCGTTTCTCATCTGCTGGTGTTTAAAGCGTCATTTACCCGGTTTGGGTCGAGCTTTTCTCCGGCCGCTGGCCGTGAGAAAAGGTCCAACCAAAGCTTTTCTTCTTCGCTCTGCTCTCATCTTTGATTCTTTCTCTGTGTTTATTTCGATGGATCTATTACCGTCTCTTTGTCCAGCTCTCATATCTACCTCCGTAGCATCTAGATCCACCGGAGCTTCTTGCCAATCTGCTCTTCAACCGTCAATCCTCCCTCTTCCTAGGTGTGTTGTCACTTTTGCTGTGTTCGCCTTTGAGCTTTCTCAGGCCATTTCGAGGACAAAAAGCCTCTGTAAAGCTCTCACGGTGGGGAGAAATCCCAATCTCTCATCTTGGGCTTGTACATGGGCCTTAAAGGGATGTTATTGGGCTCTCCGATCCAATGCTGTATGGCCCATTAAAGAGCAATCATCCAATGATTTTAATCGACATATCTAGCTTCGGATTCTCCATGATCTCTTTGGAAGGTATGGGCTTTTTTTTCCCTTGGGTTGCTAGGGGTTGGTCTTTGGTCTATATTTTTGCTGGGTCTGCCGTTGTCTTTCCTACGTTTCCCTTGAACTCTCTCAGGCAGTTTTGAGGACAAACTGCCTCTGAAAGTCTAGTAAGGGTCCCTCCGGCGAAGCAGTTGGCTGGTCTTGTTTGATTTTTACAGTGTTTTTGGAGGTACCCTTCCGGCGTTTCTCCGGTCAAAGAAACTTCTGGCTTTCTCCTTCGAGCCAAGGTTTCATCGTCTCCTACGTCTCCCCGAAGATGCAGATTATCATTGTCTCCTCCGTGTCCTCGAAGACATGTTTTAGCTCCGGCTAAACTTTATTGTGGGTTTGGCCCAGTATGATGACACGGTTCGTCGGCCCGGAGTCCTTTCATTTACCCTCTACCGTTCCCCATTCACCTCGGTTCAGCCATCGGTATCCGCTGTCTCCGCCACCCTGCCCCCACCGTGCTCGCTGTCCATTTATCAATGCTAATTATTTGATCGAGCCTACTCCTCGGACTTCAAAGACCTCGCTGAGAGGTAATATTTCTCCAGATCTATTGCCGGAAAGTATTGTGAATTTCTCTACCGACTTGCTTTCTAGCATAGACGACTTCGTTTTTACGATCAAAGGTTGAGGTTCTTCTTCAACGTCGTTTTCAAAAGTGACTTAATTTAAACTTTACGGCTTTGCTGTGAAGGTTAATTTGACGCATTTGTGGTTAGTCCCAAATTTTCTGTCCATCTTTCATGATGATGATGTATCTGTTATTGTCTTCCTTGCTTTCATTTTATGTTGTAGCGATCGAAGAGGATGCTTCATTCCCTCTTTTTGTACTGTAGAAGTTTAATCTAAGGAAGAATGGTTTGATCAAAAAATAAATCAAAACATTAAAAAACTAGATTGCTGATACTTTTTCATGTGAATGTTTTGACTCCCCAAAACCAGCTGCTCAGCTATTCTATAATTCATATTACCCTGTTCGTGCAATCCTTATTCGTCTAGTTTGTGATGATATGCGCAAGCATATACCAAATAACAAAATAATCTCAATAATAAATAAAATAAAACTCAAGCAAATTATAAAATTATAAAATAAACACTCCATATAAAAGTATAGACTATTCATATAGTAATGATAGTAATGAGTGTATGAGTTCTCATATTAACTTACTTACTCTATTAAAACAGAAGTATGTTTTGTGTCTAAACAATTTTTTTTAAAAGTTTTCTATTATTCTGTCTTTGGATAACTGTTATTTCTGTTAAAAAAATAATGTGATTAATCTGTTTATTTTTTTTCAAAAATTGATAAAATAATATATTTGAATTTTTTCTTTAAGATTAATTTCGAAAAAATCAAATTTGAATTTGAATAGTTTAGAATTTTTTTTAGATATAGGTAGGATTAATAATAAAAATTATAAAAATTAAACGTTATTATCTTTATAAAAATAGTAAATAAGATAGTAATTTATTTTCTATTTAGATATTCAAATTTAAATAATATTTTTATAATAACAAAGATGATAAAAAAATATTATTATATAGTTTTTCATTATCAATTTTTTTAAAATTAACAAAATTTATATTATATGGTAATATGATGGAACATGGTAAAATTATGTTTTAATATTTATAGCTTTTTAGATTAATCGAATAGACGGGTTAAATAAGTATGCTTTTATAATAAATTCAAAAAATAAGTTTTATCTAAACACAAAAAAAAATCTGTGTCATTTGTTAAAAAATATTATATCTGTAAAAAACACAAATTATATTATAAAATAAGATAAAAAAATAAATTTTCCGTGCAGATGCACATGATAGAATCTATTTACAGCTTTAAAATCGGTTGAGAAGCATTAATTCTATTTTTGGGGTTGTTCATGGTGGTTGAAGGTATTGAAGAAGATGACATTATCGTAATAAAGAGGGCTTTATGAGTCCAATGAGACTTTAGCCAATATTTAAAAAAATGGAAATATTTTCTATTCTCTATCATGGTAAATAAATGTTGATTACGTGAAAATATTTCTGACTATGGAAGATTTATTCTCTCCTCATAATTTTGAGAAAGAAAAGCACTACCACCAGTTTAATCTATCAACTTCATCGTCCACCACTTGATTTAAGGTCTGAAAATTAACATTATTCGGTTTAGTTTAAGTTTCAATAGTTAACCATAAAGTATTCACAAGTTATATAGAGCGATTAAAAAAAACATGATCACAAGAATGTCATATCACTAAAAGCTCGTTGGTTAAAGTTTCTTTCATGAACTTGGATTACCACTAGAAGTGAGAAGATAAAGATGGTAGTTTGCAAAAGATATATCCTTCATGTGGCGATAAGATAAGCTAGTGTGAGTATAATATGAGGTAGTAAAAATAATATTAAAGGCTCCAGAAGAGCATATATATTTGCCCATAGAAATACTATTTTGAGATTTTTGATATGTTATAATTTCTAAATCTCAACAGTTAAAAGAATCTAAAATATAAAATACATGAACTAAGATGGGTATGTTGCAGATTCTAGAATGGAATTCAATTCGACTTTAATGGATCCGACGTTTCATCATCTCCAGGGGGAGAGTTGAAAAATCCCACAATCCATTGTTAGTGAAAAATCTAGAAAAATTCTTACCAAAATGCATTTATTAAATCTTTTATAAAGAAAATTCTATAGGTTTTAGATTAATCATATTGAGACAATGAGTAAAAAAAGCATTAAATATCTCTAGATTATGAGTATTATCCAAGACAATAAAAGTATTGCGGAAGAACTATCTGCATTCTCTACTAGATTGTACTATACAATGAATTAGTACAATGGAGATAAGTAAAATAGTAAGCCAGAAGTTTTCTGAAAATCTTACTGTTTTGACATGATCTGGTTAGGTCATTCCGGTTCAATAAAATGCAAAACAAAATCAGAAATTATATGGTCGTTTGATATATTTTATATTCTACTCTTTTATTAAAGTTTTAAGATTTTATATATGCAATTTTTATTCAACTTTGTGCTTTTTGATGTAGTTTTCTTGTAATTGTAGTTAGGTCAAATTATCAAAAATTATGTTAAAAAGAGCCAATAACTATTTAACCACATACAAGGCATATTTCCAAGTTCAAAAGATCAGCCTAGTATCAAAAAGTAAAAAAATATTGATTTTCTCAAGAAGACTGCAATTTGGCATCAAAAGTTTTATGTCGGACAGATGCTTCCCATTGATAGATTGCGTTGAAATTTGGTACCCCCTAGGATTTTGAATCATCCTACTTATGGAATCAGTTTGAAGTTATAAGGACCAACAGTCAGGAAGATACATCAGTTTTACTGAAAACATGTCTGAATTTGACACAAGTCCGAACGAAAACTTCTTTTCCAGTTTAATGAAATCCTAGTTCGACTTTAGAGCTATATATATACTTTTTTTTGCCTCACTGGACAGATATTCACCCTATAATAAACAAAAAATAATGTCAGAGGCCTTTC